CTCCCTCTAACCCTCCCCCCTCTCATGTACTCTCTCTGTCTCTCATTCTCGCTCTCTCAAATAAATAAATAAATCTTTAAAAAAAAAAAAAAAAAGAAAGAGAACATAGAAAATGAAAGGGGAAAATTATCCAGTGGTACAAGGAAATTTCCCAGATGACAGATCCTTCAAAAATCTAGCACAATTAGTTAAAAACCTCTTGCCAAGATACAGCACTGTGAAATTTCACAACATATGGGATAAAGACAATTTTCTAAAATATTCCAGAGTTAACAAAACACCCAGGTTACATAGATCATAGGATTAAAGAATAAGGAATAAAAACAAAATTGTGCTCTTAACAGCAATGCTAAAAGCTACAAGGCAATGGTGCAATGCCTTAAAAAAATGTTTTTACACAATTCTGTAAGTGTGAAGGTTGCATAGAGCCATTTTTTCGAGCACACCAAAGCCTTACTTTCTATGATGAATATTTCTTAAGGAAACTGGTGGAAAATGTGTTTTAGTAAAGTCAAGGAATAAACAAATAAAAAGGGTTAACTTGGAAACCAGAAAACAAAGAATCCAATCCAGGAGATTGGTGTAGAGAAGTGTCCAGGAGGACAGTTGTGAACCAGGCACAGAGAACTGCCAGTCCAGTTTGGAGTTGGAGGACAAGACATCCATGAGTCATGTCAGTAGCCTAAAAAAGGAACTGAGAGAATATCTGATTAATTAGGCCACTGGTAGAGAGGCCTTAACATTGAGTGGGTGGGTACCCTTGAAAGTTACAGGTGCATAGAGAACTAAGCAAATTAAAAAAAAGACAGTTATTAATTCTAGAAAAAACCCAAAATGTTATTCAAGAAAAGAATGTTAGTATATTACTTGGCTCTATGTCAGTAATAATTTATGTAAAAACTGTAATGTAAACATTGACTACTAATGTAGCTAAGATAGTGATGTAACAATATTGGGAGAATGGGAGCAGAGTTTAGAAGAATTAACTTTTCACCTACAATAAGACAAGAGAATCTATCCAAAATCATCAGGAAAAAGCAATCCAAGCATGGTAGTAAGAAATACAGAGGGGTAAATACCCAGAAAAAAACTCCAGCTACAACAGTTGAAAGTGGCAGAGGACTACTACTGTGTTTTGATATGATCTCTCTAGGATGTACTGAATTTTCAAGTAATATTTAATAGTGATTTTATTATTTAACAACTTTTATATTGTAAAGATAAAAAATTAATCTGATAAACATCAGTCTGGTGCAATGCGAATGGAACATCAGAAGGGAAGAGGGCTGGTGGCTGGGTGATTTAGTTGAGAAGCTGTCTAACTGTGTAGGTGAGCTGATGAAAGTATGAACTGAAGTTGTGGCAGCGGGGACCGAGAGGAGGGGAGCTCTGAAGGACAGGCAGAGGGAGTTACTGACAACCTCCTGTGGAGTTAGATTCAAGGTATGAAGGGATAGTCACAGCAGCAAAGATTTACTGAGTGCTCACTACGTGCCAGGCATGTTTCTAAGTGTGTTACATCCATTTTCTCAGCTAATCTTCATAATAGGGAGATACTATAATTAATCTCATTTTTGAGATGAGGAAACTGGGGAACAAAGCAGTCAAACAGTCTGTTACTAAGTACTGGGGGCCAGGATCCAAACTAGGCGGTCTGGCTCCAGAGTCCACATATTCTCTACTTGCTCCTGAAGGACTCCTGAATTTCTGGCTAGGGAGAATATGTGGATGAAGAGGCCACCAAGCATGACAGGAAAAAAAAAAAGAGGAAGAGACGGCTGGGGGAAAGGATAAATATGTCCACACTGGACATACCAAGTTCTAACTACATGTAAGACATCTAGTGCTAGTTGCAGAGTATTAAGTCTGCAAGACTGGTCTGAAGAGCCTAAGGCTTCAGGCTGGAGAGAAAATGAGACTCACCGAAGTGTAAGTGGTCAAGTTAGAATAGAAGAAAGGCAAGCAGACAGAAGAGAGCAAAAGACAGAACCTACATTTCAGTGGTGGGAAGAAAAAGAAGACAGAGCAGAAAAGAAAGAGTCCTGGAGGTAAGAAGAGAGCCAGGAGACAGAAGAGTCACAAAAGCCAGGAGGGTGAGAATCCCAAAACGGAGACAGTCTTTAACAACAACAAATGCTAAGACTGAATAACATGACAGCAGAGAAGTATCCTTTGCATCTGGAGATTAGGAAGTCTTTTACAACATTCGAGAGAAGAGTTTCAGTGAAGGGTGGGAGCCAAACTGCAGTCGGTTTGAGGAATGAAGGGGAGGGAGAAGCAGAGACACTGGAGCGTTTGTAACATGATCTGTCTGGGTGCACTCAAGGAAAAGGAAAGGAAGGTATTGTTGTCTTTCACTGTAGGTTTTTCGGTACAATTTGACTTTTAAAATTATGCATGTATTCCTTTGATTCAAATAAAAAATAACTAAAAGTAGAATGAGGTTTAAAGTTTTGTTAAGATCCAACTTGACTTGTATTTCAACATCATTCAGGTCATGAATAGTCATTCATAGTCAAACTTCCCTCCACCTAAAAAAGTTACCACAGAAAGGTGCCATGGAAAGGGTGCTTACCTAAGAGCTTGGGTTCTACCTGAGACGCACCACTGACTTGACCAGTTACGTAATCTCATCAGGCCGGCTTCCTCAATTGAAGAGACTACAACAGGTGGTCTTTTCTGATAGAATGCTACAGTGACTTGTTTCCTATGCCACTATCTTCATAACAAGCCTTTATATTAAAAACAAGTAACAACAAATACCGCTAGCCATCCCTGCCAAACAGTAGTAACTCAATCACACTGGCTCAGTGGGGGAAAAAAAGAACTTGTGTCAGATGTTAATAGACTTTGAAAGACTTCTGGTAACTGACAAGAGATTCTGAAGAGAAATAAATGTTCTTCAAGCATTTTCAGCAATCTTAGCGTGGATATTCAAGAGCAGTCTAATTTTTAAAGGAATAAAACACCAAACAGCTAAAAGTTACTTTGAGTAATAAATAAGTCCTATCTGAGGATAGCTGGAAAGGGTGAAGTTAATGCTTTCAGGATAAATTCCTGAATTTCCACCACAACAAGGACTTCCAGCTTTGTAAGAAAAAAGGAAGCTTCATTTTTGAGTTCCCGGAAAATATAAGCAAATGCTATTTATCACACACAGTTACAAGCTCTGCACCTACCACTAGATAAGAGTGTGAATTTGTCATGAACAGATGCAAATAAACAGATACTAAGAGTAGTGACCCAGAGCTGACCTAAACAACAAGGTGTGAGGTCTAAGTCAATTTATAACTAGCACACTGTAGGCATACAACCCAAGATATAGCTGTGATATCTCAGCAGGCTAGGTAGTAGCTTTATGGATCCGTGCCAGGCAAGGCTATCCCGTCCTCTACAAATATAACATTTGGTACACTTCTGTAATTATAAGACAGACTCCCGATTTAGCAACACTTCCTATGGAACAAAACACATTAATTAGGGAAAATATATCTGTGGGTTGCTAATGATGGGACAATAAAATAAAGTAGGGAAAAAAGTTTTTAAAGTATAAAATAGGGGTGCCTGGGTGGCTCAGTTGGTTAAGCGTCTGCCTTCAGCTCAGGTCATGATCTCAGGGTCCTGGGATCAGGTCCTGCATGGGGTTCCCTGCTCAGTGGGCAGTCTGCTCCCTCTCCCTCTGCTAGTCCTACTAATTCAGGAAAGGCTGTGAATTCCAAATAGGCCCGAACAAGATCTCCTAAACAAAAATTAGTTTTAAAAGTTTTTGTGTAAACTTTTATTGGAGTGTATCTTAGATACAGAAAAGTTCACAAACTCTAAGTGTATATCTTGACGGATTTTTACACCATCTTATAACCAGCACCCAGACACTCAAATTAAGAAAAAGAATATCAAAACCTTAGAAGCCCACCTCATGCCTGTTTCCAGTTACAATTCCACCCAAAGTTTTTGGACTTCATATTAACAGAATTGTATGTTGGGTAGTCTTTTGGATCAGGTTTCCTTTGCTCAATTTTATGTTGAAAAGAATCAGTCATGTTGTTGCATGAGGTTGTAATTAATTTATTATTTTTTATAGTATTTCATTGTATGACTACATCATAATTTATTTATGCATTCTGTTGTTAAATGGACACTTGTTGCCACTCTGATGATATTACCAATAGTAATTTGTGACCGTGACTTTTGGTAAATATGTGTAGGCATTTCTGTTGAGTATACATCTAGGAGTACAATTACTGGGTCATGGGGTATGCATATATTCACCCTTAGTAGATAATGTCATACATGATGTACCAATGTACTAGCAGTAAATGAAGAATTCTAGTTGCTCCATACTCTTAGCAACATCTGATTTAGTCTTTTTTTCATTTTAGCTCTTCTTAGCTTTTCTGGTGAATATATAGTAGGAATGCATCATAGTTTTAAATTTCATTTCTTTGAAGATTAATGACTTTGAGAACTTTTAAATATGTTTATCGGCTGTTTGAATATCCTATTTGTGAAGTGCTTGTTCAAATGTTTTTGCCATTCTCCTATTGGGCTGTCTGCTTTTTTCTTACTGATTTGTAGAAATTCTTTATTTTAAGGCAATTTAATTTTGCAGAGAATTTTCCTCTAGAGAGAAATGTTAGCTCTATTTTGTCACTCCTTTATTTGCTGGGATGCAGTCAGAAAAGGCATACAGTCTGTTCATATTCCCTTTGAGTTTTTCTGAAAAGATTACAAACAAGAAGATATATTTATTTACATGAAGAATTGTCTTTGCAATATTATCACTGAACTATATTTTGAAGACAGTAAGGAAAATGAATAGTAAGACTCAGCTATTTGCTATTATTTGAAACATGCCATATTTTTTTCAAAGGACACCTAAAGTTATGAATTCTGACTATATCTCTGGTCCACCTAGGAGCTGTGTTAAAGAAAAGTGTTTCAGGGGCCTTTTAGAATTGGAGTCTGGGTACCTGGCTATTAACCACTGAGGAGAGGCTATTAGTATTAGATTCAAAATCTTTACACAGCTAACACAGGGGAATTAGTTACAGGGATATTTATGAATTAGTACTATCTTATAAATTGGCCTTTGGTTGTAATTCACTGGCTTAAAAATTATAAAGATAAACTTCTGACAAGGAAAGAAAGAATTATTAAATATGTCACAAATAAGGCAAGGTGAAATCCATTTTTCTAAATAGAGTAAAATAAACTATTTTTGTGAATGAAATAACTTGATAAATACTTTCACTCTCTTCTCTAAAAGAATATCCCAAAGGTACTTTCTCTAGCTGAGAATCTGGAGGAGAAAAAAAAAAAAAAAAAAAGAGTTCTGATCAATCTCATTTCCCAAGACAACAGGAACACAGATCAAGCAAACATGTGACAGAGTAACAACAACAACAAAAAAATCCAAAAAACAAAAAAGCAAAGAACAAAAACCAAAACCAACCAACCCAGAGTTAGGTATTAAAATTTAAAAAACAGAAAACCTAGGAAAACCCTAGTAAGAGTATTTTCTCTTACTGTTTAATGAAATCCTGGAAGAGAAAAGCAGCTCTAAGTTCAGAAGCATCTGAAGAAATCATAAATAAAGGATGGATTTGACAACAGATACAAAAGTGAAAGGCCCAAGACAAAGTGGGCAAAAATATTTGTAACAACTATTTTTAAAAAACCAATGAGGAGCGCCTGTGTGGCTCAGTCGGTTAAGCATCTGCCCTCGGCTTAGGCCATGATCTTAGGGTCCTGGGCTCCCTGCTCAGTGAGGAGTCTGCTTCTTTGTCTCCCTCTGCCCCTCTCCACTAATCGTGTGCTCACGTGTGCTCTCTCTCAGATAAATAAAATCTTTAAAAAAAACAAAAAACCCCCAATGAATCCAGAATGTCCTTACCTAGAAAGTTCATCTAAATTAACATTAAAAATATTCATATCCAACAGAGTAATTGGTCAGAGAACAAAAACACACAATTCTAAAAAGATGCAAGAATTATGATTATTACATGCAAACCTGAAAAATATATTACTATAATTATGAAATACAAGTTGAAATGGCACTTTAATCCACCAAATTAGCAAAGATAGAAACATTTTATCTGTGTGTGTATGTAAATACATAAACAGGAGAGATTTGGGGAAAAAGATAACCCTGCTAAAATGACTAAATTATTACAACCGTCTGAAAAGCAACTAATGTGGTGAGATTCTTTAAATGTTTATACCTTTACCTGGTAATTCTACTCCAGGGAATTTATCTTAAAGAAATAATCCTAAATACTACAAAAAGTTATAGGCATAAAACTGTTCACCTGCAGTGCTATTTACAATATAAAAAACTGGCAATAACTTCAATTTAAAAAAATTTGGAAGGAATTAAGCAAAGTATGGCATATTTATTTAATGGAAATTAAGTACACATTTAAATATGTTAACATTTTAACAGAGACCAGGCTATATAACAAGATAAATGCTTGCATTACGTTAAGTGAAAAAGCCATTAAAATAATTACTTACCATATATGTGTGTCTGTGTGTATATATGTATAAACTACCTTATCCCTCCAAAAAGCCTAAGCATAAAAAAATTCTAGAAAGAAGTATATTAAAATGTTAGGGTTTTATTTGGTGTTGGGGCTGTGAATGACTTTTCTTTCACTACAGTGTTTCTACTGTTCTATAATGAGGACATATTGCTTAAATAATGATAGGGAAATCAGCAGTAAATAATCAAAAAGAGCAGAGAGGGTAGACAGAGCAGCATACAGAGGCATTCTAAATTAGCCTGGTTTAAGGCAACACTTACTGTAAACTGTTCAATGTCTCTCTCTAGTCCCACATTTGGCAGATCAGGCATCATATGAGCCACGACTTTGAACCCAGAATCCTTGGCCAGGTGAAATGACTCACATACTGCCTTCACAGTGTGGCCCCTGAGGAAAGAAAATTCACATCTGTTATACAAATAAATGGGAAGGGAGGTTAACACAAGGAACAGAGGGAAAACAATCTCTGAGACATGTAATGGTAGTTTTATAATGAAGAATAATATGGTTGGGGAATAAAAATCTCAGAAAACCATTTTTATATCTCTAGCTCTGAGAAGGCCTGGAAATAAATAATTTCACTTCTGAGATATTTCTCAGAAATTCCCCATGTACTTACTCAAGGCTGTGACAGTAAATGACTGGGTTAACCAGAGTTAATGTATACTAAAATTATTTGGACTATAAAAAAAAATTATTTAGGGCGCCTGGGTGGCTCAGTTGGTTAAGCGACTGCCTTCGGTTCAGGTCATGATCCTGGAGTCCTGGGATCGAGTCCCACATTGGGCTCCCTGCTCAGCAGGGAGTCTGCTTCTCCCTCTGACCCTCCCCCCTCTCATGCTCTCTCTATCTCATTCTCTCTCTCAAATAAATAAATAAAATCTTTAAAAAAAAAATTATTTGGTTTAGCATCATCAGCTGAAGTAAGCTTACTGATGTAAATATTTAAGTTAAAACCAAAAAAATGAGCTCAAAACCATGCAAAAGCAGCCTCTTGTTATGCTCTTTCCTTTAAAAATCTTTTGAAATTATTTGGAGACAGACAGAGATGAAGAATGTCACCTACATACAAAATAGATTTCATTCTGGTGGTCTCCAAGGTCCTTAAAAAAGTGAGAAGAGTGAATGATTTAGTGACAAGGCAGAACCATCTGGGGCCAGCTGGGTAAATCATCTTACCATTCTAGTACCACATCCAAGTAGAAAGCAAGCCCTAATAACAGTTTGGGGCTACTATAAACTGAAGCCCTAAGCCAATCCTTTCACCTCCAAGACATTCCCATTCACCACACACACACACACACACACACACACAAAATCCTAGAAACAATGGACTCCATCCTACTCTGGATGTTACCATCCATTTCCATTAAACCATTTCCAATCTCTTTTTGCTAACCACTTCCCAATTTATATGACTAGGCAAAGCCTCTCTCCTGATAACCCATGCAAATATCCAGCACTCTAAAGTTCTACTGTACAATACCATGGTCCCTAGGCACATGTACTCACTCAGTTTATACTTAATTAAAATGAAAAATTCAGTTCCTCAGTTGCACTATCATAGTGAACAGTGCAGGTGTAGAACACTTCAATCACTGTAGAATGTTCTGCTGGACAGCTCTGCTCTAAAGGAGACCCTCAACTGGTTGTTCTACATGTATCTAGAATTCAGTACATCCAAAAATGAAACTCACCTTCCCTCCAAGACTCCTCTACTTCCCATTCTCTCCTACCCCCATTTCCATTCAGTCACTAAACACTGTCATTCACTTCTTTTCAAAACATCATTTCTTGTTTAAATGAGTGCAACAGCCTCTTAACTGGTCTTCCTTCTAGCATGCTCTTCTTAATCCACCTCCATACTGTGATCCTTCCAAAGGGATCTAAAATGCAGATATGTTCCTCTCACAACTTAACATAGAGCCTGTCCTCAGATTAAAGCCCAAACTCCCTGGGCTGATTTCTAAGTTTCCTCATCATCTGGCCACCATGGCTTACTTTTTCAGCCTCACCTCTTACCACTCTCCTACCTCATGCTCTACACTCTTAACCAAGCTAACCTGCTCCAAATCCCCTAAATATACCACGTGCACCCATCCTCAGGACTTTGCTTGTATGTTTCTTTCTGTCTGAAATAATCTTCCTCTTCCCCACCTAAGTCATACTCTTCCCGTAAGTCTCAAGTCTGATGTCATTCTTTTCAGAAAGCTTTCCTGACCTTCAAGAGACTCTTCCCATCTCCAGTTACAACCCTTGATCACTGCAGCAGGCCAACCAGTGCTTCCGGTTTAAGACTCTCTCCTACAAGAGCACATTCTACTCAGGTTAATCTTTCTTAAGCCTGATTTCTGTGTAATTCTTCCCTGTGCTCAAAAGTATCCAAAAGACCTCTAGTACCTAAAGGAAAGATTCCTCTCTCCTTAGCCTGGCATTCTTCTGGTGGTTTCTAAGATGCTGACCAGTGTATGTTTCCCTAGTTCCCTTTTACTTCCTTCTCCTACCACAACCCCCAATTATGTCTGCCCCTCCTGGTAAAGCAGCCTTTAAAGTCCAACTGAACACATACCAACTTCCCGAAGCCTGCCTTTACATCCACAATCAATGATCTCTGCTGCCTAATAAACTCCTGAAATCTTTTGTTTTTCTCTAATTTACCAATTAATCATGAAGTTCCTTATATAGCTAATCTTTCATGTGTATCTTTTCTCCTCAACTCAGTGATCTATTTCTAGAGTTCTACAAGAGAACTTCATATGGCTCTGTCAACCTTATTTCCATCCTTTCTTACCCTCCCAAATTTCTCAGTTTATATCCATTGCTCCCCAACCCTTCTTTCACTACTCTGCTTATTGGCATCCACTTCACAAAAACTAATCTTTTAAATATCACCCTGATGTCCTTCTTGTTCAAACCTTTCTCTTTGTTTCCATGCCCCTGGCCTTCTCTCCTGCTGTAGATGACCGATCTTGAGCCCTGCCTTCTGCTTTCCAAATGGGAAAGGCTGTTTATGACAAGAACAGGAAGAGAGAAGAGCACGTTTACAGGCTGCTGGAAAAGAGCCAGTAAAGACTAGAAATTAGGAAAGGGGATGGAAATTAAGAGCAGAGATAGAAGGATGACCCTGAAAAGAAGGAATACCTATATATATTTCTCTAAGATTGGTAAGAAGGAGAAGAGGATGAACATGAACATAGATATAATCAGTGGGAGTTAGAAGGATACTTGTGTGAAATCATTTACCCCCATCTTACCTGTTGGTATCTCTGGCCACATCTTCGTAGACACTCTGCACCCCAATCTCCAGCCTTGTGCAGCCATAGGTCAACATGTCACTTAAATGCCGCTTCATACAATAATCTGGTCTGGTCTCAATAGTAATTCCGATACACTTTGTGAGGCTTCTCTCAGAATACCTGTCAAGCAAATCTAAAAGTAAACAACCTACCACAGCTTTAAGACATTTGCTCCCATTTAAAGGACCGTCTTCTCTTAGTCCTGTAAGACACTGGTTAAGAGAGTGGCCTCTAGACCCAGACTGTCTGCGTTCAAATCCTGGCTCTGCTACTTCCTAACTATGCAAACAGGAATGTTATTATTAACCTCTCTGTGCTTCGGTTTCATTATCTGCAAAATGAAGCTAATAGGAGTCATACCTCATAGGACTGACATGAGTGAACTAGCACATAGTACTGTTACCATTCATTATCATTCTTATCCTCCTACAGTACGCTGCAAACCATAATCTCCTTGAAAGCAGTGATTTCAACTGTGGAAACCCTAGCAACCACTTTTCATAGAAGTGAAAACTATCTGCCTTATTTATTTCCCACTCCATATTTTATGTCATGTTAAATAAAAGAAAAAAAAAGAAGGGGAGAGTAGGTATGTATAATGATCATAGAAATAATTTAGATAAAATGTCTTCTATATACACACAAGTCATTCTGCCAAGCCTATTAATTTTAGCAATGATTTACAAAATTAGGCATCATTTTTCTCTTTCACTAACACCAGGTATCAAAGTACTGAGTAACACTTTAGATTCAAGCTGCTTGAATTAATGGTTTTATTGCTGGCCAAGAATCCAGAGAAGTAAAAATGACTTGTTGAGGGGGCTGCTGCTGTGAGGGGGTACCTAACATTTACGCAGGCCACTGTGCCAAGCACTATGCGAGACACTCTGTACATACGGAATGCTCCCATCAGCTCTATGAAGTGTGTCTTCTTATTTTCATTTCACAGATGAAGAAACTGAGGTTCAAAGAGATTAAGTACCTTGTCCAAGGACACAGAGCTAATAACATCCAAGTCAGGATTTGAAATTGGGCCCACCTGACTTCCAAATCCTTGTTCTACACTTCACTTTATAGCACTGCTTAGACAATTCAGCAAGGAACATCAGATTTCTCTTTTCAACTTCTCTAACGTCCTAGAACCCAGTGATTCTTTTTGGTGCACCCTTCTACAACTTTCTCAATTCCTTGGGAGGGTGAAGGAAACCTCTTTTTTTTTTTTCTTTCCCCCATTTAATTTCCTTCCTTTCAAAGAAGTTCAAAGTTCTTTCTTGAAGTACAAAAATCATAAAATTTCCAAAATTTTGTAACTACTCCTTTAGGTTCACTTCTTCATTAACTGTCAATAAAAGCTGACTTATTTAATGTTAATAACAGTTATTAACGAAGTTAAGAATCACTGAACTGGAGGATTGATTCTGAAATTTTCCATTCTCGACATTCAAACTCTTTTACACTGTTTATTACTGTATTCCATAAGGTTTTATACAGGATTACCAGAGGCAACAGAACTAAAAAGTAAATAAGTAGTCCAAAGTTACTAAAGTGAATCATGAGAGAGAAAAAGGGCTCCGATTTTATCAAATCTTGCCTAAGACAGGATACTAAATCATTATGCTTTTTTGAAGTAAATCAGAAAGTCACATACCTCTCAAATAGGTGGGTACCAAGACCTGCAGTAACAGAAGTACATAATGCCATGGCTAAATATAATTTTCTTTGAGTATCAATTACTGTGTTTGGGTAAAACCATATTTAAAAAATTAAAATACTATATTATGGAGAAAGGAAATCACATGAAGACTGATTTTAAAAAAAGGATAGCAAGAAACTCTAAATTAGTTTAAGAAAGTAAATAAGAACATATTAGAATCAAGCATTCCAAAATTGTTATCACAAATCTCCCTATTAACTGCCTGTTTCATAAATATGGCCTCCAGTAGTTCTTAAAAGAAAGTTCAGCATCACAACAGTACCCTGCATCACTGGGAAAAAACTAGAGGACGGGCAACTGTGCAAGTGGGAATCTGTCTAGAGGAAAGAGGAAATCACCTGCTAATCTTTCTATTGCCCAGATCATGAAAGGCATGCAGACAGAGGAAGCTGCTGCAAGGACTATAAGGTCTCTTCCTAAGTAGTTGGAATATAGTAGAAGGACAGAGACAAGCCTTATTCTCAAATAATAATTTAACTCCATTTCAAAAATGTCTTTCCTCTTAAGGGAAATGCCATTATCTTTTGCAGGAGAAGAAATGGAAAAATGAAAGAAATTAAATTTTTAAAAGCTAACATTTTATATTTACAAAAAGCTTTTACCACTATCTTCTTTTCAGAATTGTATTTTCATTTGAAAAGCAATTAAGCAAAAACTCTTTTAATCTGAATGACAAAAACAATGGGGTATTTTCCTAAAGAACAGAGTTTAAGGTCATTTTTCCTATAGGATCACTCTATTTTTATTAGGATTTTTGTTAATGCTACATTTAGTCCTACAATCACTGAACCTACCACTTCATTTAACAGAGGTGTAAAGATATTAATGATTGTTCTTTAATATGCAAATATTTGCATTAAGGCTTTCAACTAGTCTAAGCAAATTACAACTTTTGGGGCGATTTTCAGGGCCTGCCATAACCCTCCATATCATTTTAGGTAGCCATCCAACAGTATGCCTCTCCTTAGTACCTAGTTCAACTCCCATACCTTCTGGGGGGCCGCAGAATTCTTGGGCACCTAGGAAATGCGCTACACATTTTCCAACTCTGATCATAAACTTCTAAGAGACCAAGTCAGAGACCAAGTTTTTTTTTTCTTTCCCCCGTTTAATTTCCTTCCTTTCAAAGAAGTTCAGAGTTCTTTCTTGAAGTACAAAAACCATAAAATTTTTGCACCCAGGTCTTCTAATTCCAATTCCACTGCTCTTTTTGTGATATTACAGGGTCATCTTAAATAAGTCTGGACCCTACCTGTATGGGGCTATGTGGAATCCTACACTTTTTTGTATGCCACAAAAAAGTGGCACCAACTATAAAAGATGCTAATATGCTCTGCAAAGCCAAATAACTTAAGCCAATAACTTATGACAGCATTTTTTTTTTTTTAACAAGGCTGGGGGGTGGGGTGGGACAATACCTTCAAAGTTTGAACGTACACAAAAACTAAATGCTACCCAGTTTTCAAAACATAGCTCATATACATTTCTCCTCCCACAACATCTTCCCAGAGCCTCTCTTTACTTTGTGCTACCATTCCCAGAGCCACCTTGCCCATAATATGAATACAGTTTGCCCTGTTATTTGTGGATATTTGTCTGTGCAGCTAGACAGGAGGCTCCTTGAAGGCAGTACGCTCGAGTGTGTTTAGAGGTAACTGCTTAAGGGCTTCAGCACTAAAAACTTTCCTTTAGTGTAAAAAAAAAAAAAAAATACAAAGAATGAATAAATCAATCAGGCATAACTGAAGACACAGGTCTCTCTTTACTCCCATAGCAGCCTCTAGCTAATTCTGCTCATTATCTTTCCTCTTGCAAAGAATCAACCCTAGAGGGTGCCTTGCACTAGACCAGGTATTCTATAGAAAGGAGTAATACACTAGCTCTTGTCCCAGAGACGCTTAACAATCTAGCTGCAAGAAAAAAGACACAGATGAAATCAAGAAGGATTTAAGAGCAAAGAGCTAGAAGGGGCAGAAATATAAATATATATTATTTCTTGGTTCTATTTATAGAAGGAAAAAAGTAAACTATAAAAGTGATATCTATTAATACTAACTCCTTGCCTGAAGGGCCCCAACAAAGGGGACACTGAAGGAAGACAGCAAACCAATGTTAAAGTCTCTCTATTATCTTCTGGAAACTGTTTACATGATTCACTCCAGGAAGACTATGGCATCAAAGAACACTTCTCATTGCTATCAATTTGTTGCAGTCCTCTTTTAAAACCTCTGTCATTAATAAAGTCGGATGTGTCTTAGTCTACTCCTGCGTGAAATCTCACTAGAGCTCTAGGCCCAGATTCCTGAAAACCTTAGAGAACCTTCCTACATGGACCTCAACCTGCTCAAACCAAATGGCAAAGTAAATAAAAATGGTACCTAGATGAAATGTTAATTTTCATTAGTCATAATATAAAACTCCTTTCCCTATCTACAATCCCAAAATCGCTAAGTAGAATTTACAAAATTCTTGGACAGCCAAAGATGTTTGAATTGCCAAATAACATCTGGGATTACTGACGCAATTCCTCAATAGTAGCACCACAGAACAAATTATTTTTTACTATAATCATATCTGGAAAATATCTCAATAAAATTTTACGCTCTGTACAATGCTGTGCTGGTGATATTCTAGACTTAAGAATGACTGAGTTGGGTGTTGGGTGATTTAAAAATCACAATTTTTTTCCTTTTCCCTTTATTTTTTGAGACAGTGGTCAAGTTTGCTTCCTGGATATTGTTGTTATTGTCAAGGGGGTCTATAAAACAATAAGGTTCTGCCCAACACAAACTAAGGAAACAGAAAGAAACAGAATTCTGATTTTTAAATGAGCACAACCTATGAAAAACTAACCTGGTGACCTTGTAATTTAGCGACAAATCAGGGACCTATCATGCTAGTTGACAAGGTGTAAGATATATATAGGAAAAACAACCCATAACATTTTGGGTTTTAATCCTTTCAACAGCTGACAAGAATGCTATCAGACAGCTGAAGAACCAACAGCAATGCATTATTAATAGAAAAGAAAAAAATTACAGTTATTACACATTCTTTTAATATTACATACACATTCAAATTTAAGGACTATATATAAGGACTATAAATGCATTATAGAAAAGTTGTCATTGTCAGAAAGTGACTGCTAGATGAAAAATAACTTCCAAATACATCTTTTAGATACACATTCTCATTCCAATAGAAATCTTCAAACTACAGAATGTCAGAGAAAGAAGTAATTTCAGAGATACTCTAGTCCCACCTCATCTTTATAGATGAGGAAAATAAAGCAGAGAACACGGAAGTGGCTTAAATCAGGTAATAACGCAAGATAATCACAGACATAAGTGTGAAATCTAAGTCTCCTGATTCTTCACGCACAGTTCTTTCCACTGGGTTCATTTAATAACGTTTACTTAGTACTCTCTATCTGTAAGATATTATGCTAGATATAAGGGTTCTCTTTTAAGAAGACATTCCCTCTTAAAGGAAATAGGAAGGGGTGCCAGACAGTTAAGCGTCCAACTCCTGATTTCAGCTCAGGTCATGATCTCAGGGTTGTGAGATTGAGCTCTGCATCAGGCTCCTCGCTCAGAGTGGAGTCGGCTTGAGATTCTCTCTCTCCTCTTCCTCTGCCCCGCCCTTTCTCCCTCCCTCCAATAAATAAATAAATAGAAATCTAAAAAAACCCCCCAAAACAAAAAACTGAAATCATACAGAATAGGCTCTCCCTGAGTAAAATGGCATTAAATTAGAAATTGACAACAATGAGATACCAAGAAAAACTCCGTTTTTTGGAAATTTGGAAATTAAACAACCAATTTCTATATAATCCATGGGTCAAAATATAAAGGATTTAAAAAATATTTTGAGTAGAATAATAATTATAATACAACATATCAAAGTTTGTGGGATTCTGCCAAAGCAGTGCTTAGAGGAAAACTTGAAGGTTTAAATACTTACATCGGGGGGGGAAAAAAAGGTCTATAATAATGGCCAAGCCTCTATACCTTACTAAGTCACAGAAAATGAACCATAACGTACCCCAAAGAAAGAAGACAACAAAAAAAAGTAAAGCAGAAATCAATGAAGTAGAGGACATAAAGTCAAAAGTCAGTTCTTTGAAAAGAACAACAAAATTGATAAACCCCTAACTAATCAAGAAAAAAAGAGAAAACACAGATTATCCGTACCAGGATTCAAAGAGGGGTGATCACTAACATCCTACAGATATTAAAAGCATAATTAAGGGAATATTATGAACAACTTAATACCAAAAAGTTTGACAACCTGGATGAAGTAAACAAATTCCTTGAAAAATATAACTTACCAAAATGGATACAGATAAAACAGAAAATCTGAATAGCCCTAGTTAAGAATTGAATTAATCATCTAAAACCCTTCCATAAAGAAAACTTCAGCCTTGGATAATTTTACTGGTGAGTTCTAACAAACACTTATGGAAGAAAAACATTCACTTTATATGAACTTTCAGAAAACAGAGGAGGACACACTTCCTAACATGTTTTATGGGGCTGACATAATAACACAAATACCAAAACCTAACAAAGAAATTACAAAAAAGGAAATTACAAACCACCATCTCTCATGAACATATACACAAAATCCTTTCCAAAGTATTAGCAAAATGATATATAAAAAGGATAACACATTATGACCAAATAGGGTTTATCCTAGGAATGGAAGGTTAGTTTTTTGTTTTTTTTTTAAAGATTTTATTTATTTATTTGACAGAGAGAGACACAGCGAGAGAGGGAACACAAGCAGGAGGAGTGGGAGACGGAGAAGCAGGCTTCCCGCGGAGCAGGGAGCCCAATGCAGGGCTCGATCCCAGGACCCTGGGATCATGACCTGAGCTGAAGGCAGAGGCTTAACAACTGAGCCACCCAGGCGCCCCTGAAGGTTAGTTTAAAATTAAAAAAATCAAAGTAATCTACCTGATAAAAATAAAGGAGGAAAATTATGTGATCATCTGACTAGATACAGAGAAGTCATTAGACAAATGAATTAGTGATAAAACCTCTCAGCAAACTTCTTCAATCTAATAACGGTATCTACAAAAAACTCCTCAAGGAATATTGCAGTTAATATTGAAATATTCAATGTTTCCCCTGTGTTACTGGGAATAAGAAAAAGAAGCCCACTCTCACCACTTCTATTTAACACTGTCCTAATGTCCTAGCCATTACAATAAAGAAAAAGGATGCAAATCCAAGAAGAAAAATTAAAGCCTTCTGTATTTGCAAATTGTTTATGAAGAAAATCCTAGGAAATTTACAAAAACAACTTTTAGAACTAAGCAGTGAATTTATTAAGGTAATATGATACAAGGTTAGTATACAAAAAAAATCAAATGGTGTATCTATATATTATCTGTAATCAGTCTGAAAATGAAACTTTCAAGAAGTTCAATTTCTGTAGCATCAACAAACAAAAATATTTTAGGATAAGTTTAACAGAAGGCTAATAACATCTCTACACTGGAGATTTCTAAGAGAAATTAAAGAAGACCTAAGTAAATGAGGAGATAGACTATTTTCATGGATCAGAAGACTCAATATTGTCATCAATTTTCTCTAAATTGTTCTATAGTTGTTTTTTTTTTTAAAGATTTTATTTATTTATTTGACAGAGAGAGAGAGAGACAGTGAGATAGGGAACACAAGCAGGGGGAGTGAGAGAGAGAGAAGCAGGCTTCCCACAGAGCAGGGAGCCCGATGTGGGGCTTGATCCCAGGACCCTGGGATCATGACCTGAGCCTAAGGCAGAAGCTTAACGACTGAGCCACCAGGTGCCCCTAAATTGTTCTACAGTTTTAACGCAATCCCAATCCCAACACACTTTTTAGTAGAAACTGACAAGCTGATTCTAAACTTTACATAGAAATGCAAAGGAACTAGAATATCCAAGACAATCTTGAAAAACAATGACAAAGACAACTCATACTACTTGACTTCAAGATATACTATGAAGCTACAATAATCAAGACAGTGCGTTATTGGCATAAGAATTAAAAAATAGATCAATGGGACAGAACAGAGCCCAGTTCCACATTTATGGTCCATTAATTTTTGACAAAGCCACCAATATAACCTAAATGGGAAAGGGAAGTTTTTAAACAAGTAGTGTTGAAACAATTAGATGTCTACCTATATGAGAAAAAAGAAACCTTGACTCCTACTTCACACTACATTTAAAAATTAATTCAAGATGGATCACAAGCATTAAATAGGCAAGTTAAGTATAAAAAGCTAAAACTAGAACTAGAAGAAAACACAGGAGAGTATCTTCTTGTCTTGGGAGTAAGCACAGGTTTAATAGAGACAGTACAAAAAGCAGTAACAGAGCAAAAAATAGCTAAATTAGACTTCATCAAAATAAAAACTTCAGCTTAAAGTTAATCTTAATAAAATGAATACTCAAGCCACAGACTGGGTTTTCATATTTGTAAAATATAAATCTAGCAAAGGACTGGTATCCAGGATTTATAACAGCCCAATAAAAAATGGGCAAAAGATTTTAACAGACACTTCACAAAGAATATATACAGAAAGCATAAGCACATAATAAAGTGCTCATCATCATTAGTCATCAGGAAAATGAAAATGAATGCCACAATGAGATACCATCACACACCTA